CATTTTTCCTCCCACCGGAGTGAGAGTCCCCATTTATCTACTCACGTGAGTTTCCGACCGGTTGGGTTGCCAGGAACTGGGGAGGAAACAGGAGCTCACCCTGTTTAACGCGAAGGCTGGACTCGAACCGGCTGTGGGTTAATGGCTCCTCTGTATCCGGGACTTTGTCATCTTTGGTGATGGATGGGGTAGCACTGCCCCATACAGACCCAGTGAGTAATCTGGGGGTCCTCCTGGACTCACGGCTCCTGCTCAAAGAGCAGGTGGCAGGCGTGGCCAGGAGGGCCTTTGCACAACTTTGGGTTGTGCATCAGTTATGCCCTTTCCTGGATCCAACTTTGGGTTGTGCATCAGTTATGCCCTTTCCTGGATCCAACTTTGGGTTGTGCATCAGTTATGCCCTTTCCTGGATCGGGATGCCCTTCAAAAGGTCACTCATACCCTTGTTATATCCCAGATAGACTACTGAAATGTGCTGTACATGGGGCTACCCTTGAAGAGTATCCAGAAGCTTCAGCTGATCCAGAATGCAGCCGCGCAAGCTATTTTTGGGGCCTGAAGAAGGACCCACATAACACTGTTGCTCCTCAAGCTGCACGGGTACCGGTTTGCTTCCAGGTCCAATTCAAGGTGTTGGTTATCACCTTTAAAGCCCTACATGGCATGGGGTCAGGCTACCTGAGGGACCGCCTCTTCCCCATGACTTCAACCCATCCCACCCAATCACACAGAGCAGACACACTCCAGATCCCCTCAGCAAAAGAGCTCTGACTAGCGGGGTTCAGAAGGCGGGCCTTCTCTGTGGTAGCCCCTGCCCTTTGGAACATCTTGCCCCTGGAGGTGAGATTGGCCCCCTCACTCCTGGCCTTTTGGAGGTATTTGAAGACCTGGCTCTGCCATATGGCCTGGGGTGGGGAGGGAAGTCATCAAGTGTGGGGCTGGCTAGCCCCTTAGAGGCCTCGCGTTGCTGCCCTGAACCATCGGCCTCCTGGACTTTTTCCTTTATCTTTTGTAACTGTGCATATAGGCTTTTAATTGTATAGTTATTTATT